GGAGGGGTGCTCTTTACTGGCTTGCTCCACATTGGCTTGCTCAGCCTGCTTTCTTACAGAATCCAGGACCACCAGCCCAGGGGTGGCATCATTGATAATGGACTGGGTCTTCCCCTGTCAGTCACTGATTAAGAAAATGTCCTACAGGCTTGCCTGCCTACAGCCCTATCTTAAGGAGGCATTTCCTCAATCGACGGTCTCTCCTCTTGTGTCAAGTTAACAGAACAACTAGCTGGCATAGTGGCCCATGCCTGTGCCCAGCACTCAGGAAAATCAGAAGTTTGAGAAGTGACTGGAAAAAAGAGGCTGGGAAGACGTCTCAGTGTTAAGAGCTCTTTCAGACGACCTGAGTTTGGTTCCTAGCACCCACACCAGGCAATTCACAGCTACCTGTAATTCTAGTTGCAGCAGCTCTGAAGCCCTCTTCCAGCCTCCATGGGCACTGGTACACATGGGACAGACACACACATACACTTCCTATTTAAAAAAATGGCCAGGGAGATGGCTCAGTAGGTAAAAGCATTTGCTGCCCACAAGCCTGGTGACCCGAGTTTGACCCTTGAAACTCAGGTAAAAAGTCTTAGGAGGGCTGGAGAGATGGCTCAGCTGTTAGGAGTATTGCTGCTCTTGCAAAGGACCTAGGTTCCAGGTTCAGTTCCCAGCACCCACATAACTCCTGTTCCAGGAGACCCAGCACCTCTTCTGGCCCCAAGAGGCATTAGGCATACACGCAGTGTGCGTCCATATCTGTAGAGCAGGCACTCACATACATGAAGTTAAATAAAACAAATATTTAAAAAATAAATGAATTTAACATCCCAACTACAGTTTCCCCTCCCTTTTCTCCTCCCAGTCTCCCTTCCCCACCCTCATTCCCCCCATCCACGTCTCCTCTATTTCTATTCAGAAAAGGACAGGTCTCCTATGGGTGTCAACAAAACATGGCATATTAGGTTGCAGTAAGACTAAGCACCTCCCCTTATATTAAGGCTGGGCAAGGCAACCTATTATGAAAAATAGGGTCCCAAAAAGCCAGAGAAAGTGTCAGAGACAGCCCCTGCTCCCACTGTTAGGAGTCTCACAAGAAGACCAAGCTACACAACTATAACATATATGCAGAAGGCCTAGGTCAGTCCCATGCAGGCTCCCTGGTTGTCGGTTCAGTCTCTGTGAGCCCCTTTGAGCCCAGGTGAGTTGATTCTATGAGTTTTCTTGTGGTGTCCTTGACCCCTCTGACTTCTACAATCCTCTTCCCCTCTTCTGCAGGATACCTGGAACTCTGCTGGGGGAGTTTTTGGCTTTGGGTCTCTGTATCTGTAAACCATCTTAAAAGCTAGTCAGCTGAATGGGCCTGCATCTGTAATCCCTCGCCTATGGCAAGGTGGGGAGGTCATGCAAAAGCAGAAACAAGACCCTTCCCCCCCCAAAGCAAGGTGGAAGGAAAAAACCAATTCTCCCAAACTGTTCTGACCAAAGCATGTATGTGCTCACACTCCACCTCTCCACTACAGGTCTGCATGTCTGTCACTCCCAGGCATGCTCATATATGTGTATGCACACATGGGAGCTCGCTCTCTCCTCTCTCTCTCTCTCTCTTTCTCTCTCTCTCTCTCTCTCTCTCTCTCTCTCACACACACACACACAAATGGACAAAAAACACACCAAAAATTAACTTAATTGGCTCTGTGGTTTTTTTTTCTGGGTCTTTGGCTGCCTGCTTTAGGATTGGTGACATTCTGTAATTCACAATTGTTGTAGCTACCACACCCTTCACTTGCAGAAACTGTCATCCTAGAGTGGAACTCTGTA